ATCATCGATGATGGGTGGCAATCGGTTGAAAATGAAGAGAAAGGTGGTCTGATGAGACTGACGGGGATCAAGGAGAACGCCAAGTTCCAGAAGAAGGATGAGGGGATCAACAACATAGTAAGGATAGCAAAGGAGAAGTACGCACTCAAGTACGTGTACGTGTGGCACGCCATCACAGGGTACTGGGGGGGAGTGAGGCCCGGAGAAGAATACAAGTCGGCCATGCAGTATCCCAAGTTGTCCAAAGGCGTGATGGAAAATGAGCCTGGGTGGAAGACGGACGCAATAGCTGTTGAGGGCCTGGGTCTTGTGAATCCCAAGAATGTGTACCAGTTTTACAATGAGTTGCATAGCTACCTGGCATCGGCTGAGGTGGATGGGGTGAAGGTGGACGTGCAGTGTATACTGGAGACACTTGGGGCAGGGCTGGGGGGAAGAGTCCAGCTCACCACCCAGTATCATCAGGCGCTTGATGCATCTATTGCCAGGAACTTCCCCGATAACGGCTGCATCGCGTGCATGAGCCACAACCTTGAGTCACTTTACTGGTATGTCTTTCCTTCTTTTGTGATATTAATTGATGATTGTGTAAGGAAAGAGTAGAGATTTAGGGAAGAGGTGGACAAAATACAAGAAACGAAATCGGGAATCATGGATATCGTGAACCTGGGTTATGCTTCATAGTTTAGTAATATGGGTTATGCTTCATAGTTTAGCAATATGTCAGGATTGATTCTATGCTTTGTTTTTCATCCAGTTGAGATAAAGATATATGATAAGAGTAATTCTAGAACCACATTCTTTCTCAATCCTTGGTTTATGATGCAACAAATACTGTGTGTTAATTTGACTAAAACTAAATATGAAAACAGCTCGAAACAAACTGCTATTGTGAGGGCATCAGATGATTTCTATCCACGAGATCCCATGTCGCACACTATCCACATAGCTGCCGTTGCCTATAACAGCATCTTCCTTGGAGAAATAATGCTGCCTGATTGGGACATGTTCCATTCTCTCCATCCGGCGGCCGAGTACCACGGGTCGGCCAGGGCTATTAGTGGTGGGCCTGTCTATGTCAGGTAAAAGGAAAATAAATAAATAAATAAATAAATAAAAATATTACACCACTCGCCTGCTCTGATTCATGTATGTGTGTAGTTAACTTCTATATATTAAATGCTTCTAACGATGAGGGTATATGAAACAGTGATGCCCCAGGGAAGCACAACTTTGATCTCCTGAGAAAGCTTGTCCTGCCAGATGGTTCCATTCTCCGGGCCCGCCTTCCTGGTCGACCCACTAAGGACTGCCTATTCTCTGACCCTGCCCGTGATGGCGTTAGGTGAGAAGTTCTTGCTATGAACGATCCTTTTTTTTTTTCCGCTCTTGATATAATTAGTACTTGCTAAGCAGTAATGATGAAAAATTATATGACTTGTTTCCTGTATCCCAGCCTTTTGAAGATATGGAATATGAACAAATATACGGGCGTGGTGGGAGTGTACAATTGCCAGGGTGCCGCGTGGAACAGGGTTGAGAGGAAGAACACTTTCCACGAGACGAAATCAGAGGCCATCTCGGGCTACGTGAGGGGCACAGATGCCCACCTCATCCGGGACGTGTCCCTCGACCCTGAATGGAACGGCAGCGTGGCTCTCTACTCCCACAGAGACTCGCGGGTCATCGTGTTGCCGCACGATGCCGCCTTGCCGGTGTCTCTGAAGGTGTTGGAGCATGAGATTTTCACGGTCACGCCAGTCAGGGCTTGTGGGCCCGGGCTCGGGTTTGCTCCGTTTGGGCTCATCGACATGTTCAATGCTGGTGGGGCAATCGAGGGGCTCCGTTACGATGTGCAGACTAAAAAAGAGGCTGCTGCGGTTGTCTCAATAGAGGTGAAGGGATGTGGACGTTTTGGCGCTTACTCGTCAACTAGGCCTAGGAAATGTACTGTCGGAGGTGATGAGGTTGAGGTTGAGTATGAAGTGGGTTCGGGCTTGGTGACTCTTGACTTGCTCGAGATGCCTCCGGAGGACAAGAGACTCCATAGCGTAGTGATTGAGTTGTGAGTTCTTCGTCACCTTTATTTATGCATTTTTTGAGGGGGGAGTCTTGATTTTATTATTATTGGATTGATTCGGCCATGGACGATTGGAACATGTAGCTGGAGTTTTGGGTTTCATGATCAATAAGAACAACCCCCCAACATTGCTGTACACTCAAATCATGTTCCTGCAAGCTAGAAACTCAGTGGCTTATGATAATAGTAATACTTCACTACAGTATTTGTGTGCAACTGCACATCCTCTTCGTTTCTTTTCGTTCTTTTTCGGCAACTGTTAAGGTATACTAATTGTCAAATGATGATTTCTCCTTTGAAGTATTGTTTTTGTCACAATCTGGACTTTCTGTTCAGGAAAACAAATTTGTTAGTTTTGATGATTGCCAGAATGCTAATGCTGGTTAGCATTCAACCATAAGAAAACTTTTTGCATTTTATAACTACCACACTCTGTTGCTTTGCTGTTAGCTTCACCTAG